CCTCACACACACTCACACAGTCTTTTTTAAAAGAGAGAAATTGATGCAAAGTATCTAGTTGTAGCCCACCCTTCATTGACTTTTCTAAGCTCCCAAACTGTACACTTAGACACATAATATACTCCAGGCTCAAGGTTTATTTGAATTCTCAACAGTAGTCAATGGACCATTTGTCTATTCAGGTGTGCTGCCTTGAAGCAGGACCTCTGAACCACTCCCAGGAGGGCATTTTAGAGACCTGAGTTTCTCAGCAGACATGAGTGTTCTCTATACTACAACCAATGAAAGTCCAACAGTTTACAGGAACTTGAGACTATGCCTTAATAAATAGTTTCCATCTATAACACATGTCAATGGCTCTTGGCAGGGACTGTGCTTCTATAGGACCTGGAAAAAGTGAAAAGCAAATGTCTTCTATCCCTTTTAGGAGTCTATTCACAGGAAACACGGACACCTCCAAGAAGCATACCCAACTGAGGTATAGTTGTGTGTGTAGTGGTTAAGAGCCGAATAACTGGGGGTGGAACACAGATAACACTTGAAAGTCATTTTTCGGATCCAGAAGATACTAAACCTCTGTAGGAATCAGAACAGGGACAAAGATTTAGAAAAGAATGAAGACTCAATGAAGACAAAATGGAATAATAATCTCCAAGTTACAAAACTTGAGTTTGGACTTGACTTGGTTGCTGCCATACTGTGAGATTTCTAGCAATACTCTATCTGTTCTGGGTCTTCACCCCTCACATAATCCTCAAATCTATAAAAACATTACAACCTGTAAGTATCATAAAATTGAGTGATGGCCCAAGTGATTAAGAAAGGAATTAAAAACTGTGCAACAGCCACTTGTGGTCATAGGGAATTAGTTGCAATGTCCAAACAGCCAGCACTCATACTGTTCTTGGCAACCATGGTACAATAGGCATATCTACCTTCACCATTCAAAATGTGTCATGTTATGGCACTAATGGTGACTGGATACATAGGCAGGAAACCAGCCAGGGAGGGGTAGATGACAGTAATAAGCAAGCAGGTGCTCCAGGGCTCTGGCCCCTCACTGGGCCTTGCACCACCTGCATTAGTCAAAAGGCACAAAGGTGACATGAAGGTCCCACAAGATTATCTTGCACCTCAGGTAATTTTGTAACAAGTCATTGAGATGACTTGTATATTTTCCTGGTTGAGAGAATTAAGTGAAAAAAAGTCAAAGGCCTGCTTCAGTGGTTCCCAGCATATTGTTAATGCAGATGCCTCTGACCAACAACCAGAGGTGGAGTCTCTATATGGCATTAATGATATCCTGCTTCCATTAAGAAACTGATTCTCAACTCCCCTACCACACTGTTCTTTTGTTAACCTCCCCAACATCTTTCTGAGACCCTCTACCTCCAACTTAAGGCTCTTGAGAAAAGAACGGAGTGGGAGGGGGGGCCTTTCTCACTATCATATGCCATTATCTAATCTCCCAAGAACAAAACTCCCTTTATAAGGTTCAGCAAGGAAATAGGAAACCCTTGAGTATGGTTTTCTTAAATAAAGGGAAAAAAATTACAACTGTTACTTCCTATGCTGAGTTATTGATAAACCAGACTAGCCCTGAGTAAATCTGCCAAGCCTATAAAAATGTCCTTTCAAATTCTCCTTCCTCCTTTGCTATTGTTCATTCCAAATCTTCCTGCTCGCACTTCCTCTTTGAGAAAGGATTAGGTATTATTTACACTTACCAGAGTTCAGTGGTGATGGAGTCACATAATGATGGTGGTTTGAGAGGCCTTGGGGCACAGCCATACAACACTTAAAAGCATTACCCAAGCAAACGAAATCATCTCACCGCCCTTCTGACTCAATGGCTTCTACTGCCTTCCTCCCTTTCCCCTACACCTTTGCCCTGCTCCCCAGGAAGCTCAACAGTGCTGGGACCTTCTCAAATCTCTCTAGTTGCCAACAAAGCGCCACAACCCCAACATTATTCCAAATGATAGGCCCTGTCTCCTCAAACCTACAGTCTGTCTCTTTAAGAGCTCTGTCCCCTCAAGGGCTACTGGCATCATGACTGCGCACTAAGTAGCCAGGTGCACTCCCAAAGCCTTATGGTTCCCACTTCTGACTATGAAGGAGACACAGAGGAGTAAGACACAGACTAGGCCAAGACATGACTTGCTGCAGTTGGCTGTACAAGGAACTCATAGACACCAAGAGGAGAGAGTGACAGAACCACGGGAATGGGGCCCTAGGCTTAATTTGTTCTGTTTCTTTAAAATTTATTTTTATTATCATGGGTATGAGGTACACATGTGTGTGCTGGACCCATAAAGGCCAGAGGTATAGGATCCCCTGAAGCTTTTCCCACAAGGGAGTGCTGGGTACCAAATTTAATTCCTCTGCAAGAGCAGTATACTTAAAAAAAAAAAAAAAAGATTTATTTATTTATTATTTTAAGTATGTGAGTACCTGTCGCTCTCTTCAGACACACCAGAAGAGGGCATCAGATCCCTTACAGATGGTCATGAGCTACCATGTAGCTGCTGGGAATTGAACTCAGGACCTCTGGAAGAGCAGTCAGTGCTCTTAACCACTGAGCCATCTCTCCAGTCTACTGTTCTGTTTTTAAGATGTTTAAAATTATAGGTACTGAAATGAATATCCTGTTAGCCTAAATTAGCAGTAAAAAATAAGACCAAGAACGAGAAGCTTTTTCATATTTTACTACAGAGATACTCTATAGACATATTATCAGTCATTATGTGGCTTATAAACTGCTCATTCATAGCCTACATGTACAAAATCATTTTATAAAAAATGCTTTAAAAACTAATAGACAGTGTGTTCTCTGGTGGGCTATTACTGGCAAGTGCCTCTCAAGAGGCTGGGTACATTCAGGGTCGGGTGGCCACAGATTGGAAGGTATTTCTGATGAGGGCGCATCCACCACAGAGGACTGGTGGCAGCAGCCAGCACAGGGACTGCCGCCAGTTCACTCCATACTCTGTCCTTAGCCAGCTCTTCACTGTCACGTTTGTGGCATCTGATTCTTGACTTTGTTCCCCTCTTCTATGGCCTTCTTTGCACCTGGAATCCACCACTTCAAAGATGGCCACATAGGATACACTGAGTAACAGAAACATATCTTAGTACCTTTCTGTCTTAGATGTAGAAAATTCTGGTTCTCTAAGACGCTTGGGAATGTTGTTCCCCACTTTTTGATCTCATAATACATTGCTGAATTGAATCCTTCAAGGACACAGTTCACAGATTCCCTGCACTATGTCCTCTTCATAGTGTGTGCATTATAATGCATTATAACATTTCACAGCCATGATCAAAACAACCAAGAAAGCTGTCTTGTTACTATGGTTCTACATTCTACATAACCAAGAGCTCTGCTGAGGAAACGGAAAATTTCAGCCTAATAATTAACTGGAACAAGTTCTTAACGTGTGCTACTATGAAAGTCTCTAGGCCAAAATTATTACAATCAAATTATCAGTTCTGAGCGTCATCAAAAGATCCGGGTCATGCAGCAGTCCAGAAATCCACTGTGATGTTGGCATATAAAGGGGTGTGTTCCACAGAGAGTAATCTGTAAGAACAACTCGATAAGCCATCTGTTTTCCAGACCCGTGACATCTGTTGTAACAGCTTCATTCTAAAGATAAAAAAAGAGCAAATGAGAACATGGCATGAATCCCACTGCTTTCTGTCCTGACCCAAAGTGTTTTCATAAGTAGTTTTATAATTTACTAAACCTGTTGGGTTTCTTTTTTTTTTTTTTTTTTGGTTTTTTTTTTTGAGACAGGGTTTTCCTGTATAGCCCTGGCTGTCCTGGAACTCACTCTGTAGACCAGGCTGGCCTCGAACTCAGAAATCCGCCTGCCTCTGCCTCCCAAGTGCTGGGATTAAAGGCGTGCACCACCACCGCCCGGCACCTGTTGGGTTTCTTAATGACAAAAATAAAAGGTATGTTCCTTGCAGAACAGGCAATAATGATAGCCGTGTGTTTGTGGATCAGACAATGGAAGATCATTCATTGTCTCCAATGCACTCCCATCTATAGGACAGAGGGATTACAAGAACCACTGATAGAAAAGGGGTGTGGCTCCCCACTCTGAACTGATCCTTGGCTGACCATCAGGGGATCTCTGACCATTCATTCCACTACTATAAGAAGAAAGTTGTCTATGACAGGAGGGTACATAGTTTTCATATGAGTCTCAAAAACTATGTGTGTGTCTGTGTGTGTGTGTGTCTGTGTGTGTGTATGTATGTGTCTCTGTGTGAGTGTGTATGTGTGTGTGCATGCATGTGTGTATGTCTGTGTATGTCTGTGTATGTGTAGGTGTGTATGTGTGTATGTATATGTGTGTGCATGCATGTGTGTATATGTGTGTGTATGTCTGTGTCTGTGTAGGTGTGTATGTATGTGTGTCTATGTGTATGTGTAAGTGTGTGTGCATGTGTGTGTGTATGTGTGTGTGCAGGAGGATAAAGGTCACCTTACTTTGTGAGAGTCTAGGGAGGGACATCAACAGGGTCAGTTTCACTGAAGCTTAAAAGACATGAAGTTCACCAAGTGAACAAGGAAGAAAGGGATGCTCTAAGCAAAGACTGTGTGGTCAAGGAGCACAGACAGACAAAAGAACAGGATGTATTTGAAGAAGGATAAGCCACCTCTGAGGCTGGAGCTGAGCAACACTGGTAGGAGCTCAGCCGTGACCGTGACAATGTGGGTGGATACCAGAAGCACAGTGCTGAGCTGTATAATGTCAAAGGAGAAGAACCACTGTATGACTCCACTCGCACACAGCTAGAAATGTGCAAAACTGATTACTAGTTTGTTTAGAAATATAAACATGGAAAACAAGAAAACCAATAAACGGTCTAAGGAATTCTCATTATGACAAGAAAAGCAGTTCTTGTGAAGTTCAAGAAAGTGTCACCTAGGGTAGGGTAAGTGTTAAGAGGAGGGTATGGATCTAGGGAGCCCGTGTGGACACACCGACAGGGTCTGTCTGGATATCCAGATGCTTTATACTTTTCATATCTTTTATCATTAAATAATTAATGAACAGAAAAATGCACGACTATTGATAAAGACTGGAATGACAAGGAAAAGTCTGTTCTTTTAGACCTGTGGCCTCTAACAAAAGAGCTAAAAGATTTTTAACACTGTCTTAACATGTAAAAATTAATAAAAGACCAAAAAAATTCTTGAATATTGCTTTTCAAAGGAAAAAACTCAGAACAAAAACCATAAATTCTTCTATCAGAGCCACACACACAATGTATTTATCTTCTGGAGTTCCTCAGTGAAGGAGCCAATGCTGGACAGGAGAGGAAAGGACAAGACTAGGATATCAGCTCTCCCCAAAGCACAGAGCAGGAAGCTTCCAGACGGCCATCGTCACATCCTCAGGACTCAGGACCCAGCTTGAAGAGCTCTGGCTGGCCAAAGTCAAGACCATGCTCTTATCAAGAACATGAAAACAAACCCTAAGGTGTTCAGGGATACCAGACTATTATTCTGGAAAATGACCCACCAGTGTTAGGCTCTCAGCCTTCAGGCTGCCTTTCTCGTAGGAACTACTCCCCAACGACATCCTTCTTTGTAAGAGAGTCAACAAATGAAGACAGGATGATAGAATCAGGATGTTACAGCTCTGCAACTCTGATTTAAGCAATGAGAAATTGGTGCTAAAGATCACTAGGTAAAGATACCACGAGAAATCTCAGGTTGAGTGTATCAGCTGAGAGTACCCAAAACCACAGAACAATCCTGACACCAAACATGCTCTCCTAGCTTGCATTTAATAATAATAATAATAACAACAACAACAACAAGAGAAGTCACAGGAACACATCAAGTCTCTAGGGAACAATTAGCAAAAAATTCATAAAGGGGTTGATTCTGAATCTACCAGACGCATGATCTGATGTCCAACAAAAACACTGCAAGGAATAAGGCAAGAAAAAGAAGGGGTGGGGCCTGGTGGTACCCAGCTGCACTCCCAGCACTCAGAAGGTGAGACATTAGTGGTCACTCGAAGCTAAAATAGACTATGTAGACAGTAAAACGCTGTCTCCCCAAAAGAAAAAGAATCGAAGGAGAACCTCTCGGCTAAAGGAGACCATTCCCATAATAACGTGGACATCATTTACTTACCATGGCTGAGCGAGCTAATGCTTTTTTTTTTTTTTTCAAGTCCTTAGTAGACAATCCAACAAGACTGGATGCTTAGTAACATAATGAAGTATTTTGTTAATTTTATTTTAGGCATGATAATGGTATTCTGGTTCTTTGTTATATTTTAAGGATGACAAAGAATCCAGTGGGCAGAAGGAAAAGGGAGACAAAGCAAAGAAGCCCAACATTTACAGTCCCCGAAATGAGGGGTCTAGGTACTACTCCCCCTTTCTTTGGGCTCTGCTTTAAGCGTTCCTTTGTAAAAAGCTTTTAACAAGGTGAACTGGCTTACTCGATCAGTCCACCAAGGGTGTGTTAGCTACACAAGAGACTTGATACCCAGGCTGATGCTGGGGTGGGAATCCAGGACTTACCGGCCCATGTTCACCTCGTTGCCTTTGTCTCTAGTGTGGAAGATCATAGTGTATTTGCCCACATCAGGCTTGGGCCGGGATATTTTCATTTTATGGAGCTCAACCCTAGAAAAATAACGAAGTTCATTTTTGAATTCTATCCCATTGATCTACCACTGAGTACTTTAAAAGAATCACCTGCAATTAAAAAAAAAAAAAACTACATACACACACAAATACACAAGGAGGCTGGTGCAGTGTGGTGCTACTCACGGGCACAATGATTATGTTTGAGACATGGTCACTGCCCTCTGTCACCAAAGTGCCACTCAGACACTTAGCAGTCCCATCCTCTCAGGAAGGAATAAACAAGCAGTGCATATTACAACCCTATGGTTTTTTTCTATTAAAAAAAAAAAAAGCTGGTGGCAAAATTTCAGCATCCTAGTCTAGAAAAAGATCAGAAACTAAAAGAAGCTTCTAGTGGTGACGTGCTCCCACAATTCCACAGGTTGGGTGGGAACGCTAACCAGGGCAGGACAATCAGTGATAAATTGAGGCTAACCTGAGCTACACAGTGAGTTCCAAGTGGACCTGAAGTGCTTAATACAGATTGGATGCAGGTGGTCACAGAAACAGAGGTTTTGCGGGCAAAGAATAAGACACAGCCGTGTGTAAGTGCAGGGAAATTATGCTTCACTGTCTTACATGGTTCAAAAACTTAGAAATAACATTTAACACTCAGTTAGTGGAAAAATGCCAATTTGAAGTTAGTTACTCTTAAAACGAGAGGAAAGAATCTGATACAATATTAATTTTAATGCATTCTTAAGCAGCAAGACAGTCGAGTCTGTCGGGCTCTATAGTTAATAATGCTGTCTCCTCACAAGGAAAGGAATGACCGTGTAAAATCATAACCTCAGCCAGAAACCAAGGTTTGATCTAAGCTCTGCGGCTGACGTCTTTGAATCAGCTTGCCCTATCAGATCTCGGCCCTGTCTAGAAATGAGATTGGTGACACAGAATGCATTTCACAGGCTCGAACAACAGAATTCATATGGAACATGCTTTACAAACTGTAATAAATACTTTGAGAGCAAAGATGGGTGGTGTTCAATATCAGTCAGCAGGTCTCAATCAGTATTATGTTGCCTGGCTTATCGGGCGCATTAGTGGAAATCTGTTCTGAGGACCACAATGTTTTCATGGAGGCAGGAGAAAAAGACAGAAAAGCAAAGAGGTGTAAAGAGACATGAAGAGGAAGCCCCCGACACCTGGGATCTAGCTGCCTTTCCTGCAGACAGAAAGGAAATTTCAGCAGACCTGATAAGGTCAAACTTGCCTGCAGAGATAATGCAGGGTTTTCCTACAGACACCTCAAACTAGGATGATAAAACCAACTGTGTCCACCTAGGGCCAGAATGCTTACACCTTCAAGTTTTTATCTTAACATCCTCTTAATCTAAATCAAAATAATCCACCTCCTGAAACCACGTCCAATTTCATTCACAAAAGAACAATTTCAGAGAGAAATAAATAAGCCAGTTCATAGTTTTTTAAGCCCTGCTTCATCTTTGAACCTTGCTGCAGGACTGAAAAGATGGCCCAGTGGTTAAGTGCACTGATTGCCCTTCCAGAGGACCAGCGTTCAATCCCCAGCAACCACAAGGTGGCTCACAACTGTCTCCAGTCCCAGGTGGAATCAGACTCCCTCTTCTGGCCTCCGCAGACCCTGCATGTACACCGTACACAGGTACGTCTACACAGACAAAACATTCCTATGCAAAAAATAAAGATGAAAAAAATTGTAAAACTTTGTTGTAATTTACACCCTTTAAGCAATCTATCTCAGAAACAGGATCAAGTGTGTGTAAATGTGTGTGCACATGTGAGCCATGTAACAACAAAGTATAATTTCCCCTAGAGAAGCCCATACTAACACGTGGGTGTGTCTTACTCTTTTCTCCAAAGACATCTATATTTGTGAACTCCTGCACCCAATATGTATTAAAAATGCCTTCGGATAAATTCCAATTCTGGTTCTTTCTGACTTGCCCTGCAGTTCCTCTCTGCCATGAGCAGAGGTCTCTGAAGAGAACTCTTGTGGCTGCTGGAGGTGTAACCCTTCCACTGCTGGTACTTATCAAATGAAAACAAAGCTTAAGGTTTCACTCTTCCTTAAAGCTAAGAAAGGGTGGGAAAGGAGACAGTGATGGTATGTAACCATAGCAACTGTCTGCTGTTAACCCAGCTAGGCAGTGCAATGGACTGGGGGAAAAGGGAGTGCTGGCTTCCTCTAGCCCTTCCTAACTCTGACTCTGTATGATCAGCAGCTTGTGTGACCATGATTGTTGACTGCTGAGAGGCTTAGGCAGGAAAAACTCCCTCTTTCAGAAACACTGCAAAAGGCTCTCTCCCGAAAGGGGACAAGACTGAGCAGCATGAGGCCCTAAGTTCCTTCCCACCAGCCTAGTGGGAATTTGATAGTCACTTATCTATTAATTCAAAACACCAGCTTAGAACATACTTTCAAAGCAGCATCAGGAAGAGGAAAAAGGTCCCCTGACTGCCCAGGAGGCCCTTGTGATCACAACTCTGACTTATGGACTTTTGAATAGTTAGGGATTTCTGGGCAATGGGAACATCTTTTCCATCAAAATACACACACACACACACACACACACACACCCCATATCTTGAAGAGCATGTAAAAGAGGAGGTCAGCCATCCTGAGAAGTTCCTTTTGACTCTCCAGAGCAAAAGGAAGGGACCCAGGAGTTACACCAGCAGCCCAGAGTAAGGCCTTCAAGTCAGGAAGCTGCCACAGGGTGTAGCAAAAGGACACCCTTGCCTTCTTTGGGGAATATGGCTCCTTAGAGAAATTAGCACCATGCTCCACATGCTGGGAACAGAGTCAGGGCCCCTGGGGTCTGAGGAAAACCCCAAGACTTAAGTTTGGGATTTCCCATTCACTGGTGGGTCCCCTGGCTCCCCACCAACACTGAACCCCAAACTCAGCAACAGATGATCCTCACTGTTTTCTAGGCTTCCATTGACAAAGAACAATTTAGGTCACTGTGCCCTCCCTTCATACCCTGGCACCCTTTAAGCCCAACTCTGCAGCCTTAGGACCTGCTGCCTGGCATTTCCAGGAACTACACACAAGTGCGGGTTTCCAGGTCACCACTGAGAGCAGAGCCCCAGGAAGGTCCCTTCTCTGCTGTTCACCTGAGTCTGAGGTCATCGTCTTCTCCTCCCCATCCCCAGTAGTTGTTAGAGAATCCATTCACCTTGAAAAACTGTTCTCTGCTGAGGGCAGTAACACCCCCAAAATATTTACTGTAACGCAACCTGGAGCAAAAGAGAAGACAGAGAAGTGACATTTAGCACAAAGCCCCTCTATTCCCCACAGACACTCTAGCTAGCTCTGGTTTGGGGGGCTAGCATTCCAGGAACACTTGGGAGATGGTTCACCTCCGCCCATTTCATAAATCTACTCTTGCCTCATGCCCACCTCCCTGCACTCCTGGCCTGTGATCTGATGTTGGGTGACCTCACTAAGTAAGGTGACCCCACATACCTGTTATCGATAACACTGGTTTGATAACACTGGTATTCAGAGGTCTATAAATATATCTGAGAGTGCAGTATCGCCTTAACTATGTGTGAGAGATTCCATCCCATGTAAAGGCTGCTAAGGACACCAGGTGAGGAAGGATTCAGGGTCACATCTATGTTCAGCATCAATGAGTGTCAGGATAAATATACCCCCTCTTTTTCTTTGGAGAGTGAAGAGGTATAAATCAGGAGACAGTTCCAGACCATGCTTTGGTTGTGCTCACTATGCAAACCACCATCTTGAGAGTTTGCTTTCTAGAGACCTCAACACACCATCCCACTACACTGAATTCCGGGCTTGGACAACCAGATGGAATGCAGTGTCTTTCATGAAAACTGAGTATGAAGAAAATCATTTGGTTTTGAGAGCAAGACAATAAATTATTCTTAGGCTAAACTTGAGATGTTCCTAGGGCTTATGCCAACGGGCAAAGGACACAGGGTCCAAGTTCACAAGACACCTGTAACTTGAAGCCCATGGAGTAGGGGACATCGCTGGACAACTATAGGATGGACAAGAAGAGTTGAACATCCATGGAACCACTGTTAAGACTGACATGGAAAAGAGGAAGCCAAAATCCCAAGAAAGTAGAGTGGGGAGTATGTCAGAGAGGACTCTTACCCTACTGACTTGTTAGCAAGCTGGGCTAAGGCTAACCCTTAATACAACTCTGGTGCCCTTTCGAACTGCAGCTGGAGGGAGCTACTAAACAGAACCATGTGACCACATAGAAGGTTTCTAACTTTTAATCGACTTTGGTTCTAAATATCTGGGGCCAAGTGAATACCAATGTTTTCCAGACAAGAAGAAAAACCAAAAGGAAAGACTCAGTACACTGTCAACATTTCCCATCTAACACGGAGCACCCCCAAAGTTACTCTTGAGGTTGAGTGTTTCCTATACTCCCCATACACACTATGTATGCCTATGTATGCCGTAACAGAAATAGATACGTTCATCAGCTTAGACCGTGAAAATATCTGCATGAAACAATCCTAAAGGAGGAAACTTGTATTTGGGCTCATTGTTTCCTTCAGTCTGTGGCCAGCTTGCTCCACTGCCGATGGGCCTGTGGCCAGTGGGAATTTCACGGTGGATATGATATGGTCAGTGCGGATGGCTACTCACCTCATGACAGTTAAGATACAAAGATGAGGAAGAGGAGCAGGACAATGTATAGTCCCTGGGAACACACTTCCAGTGATCCACTTCCTTCAAGTAAACCCCAAATCTGAAAATACCCACCACTTCCTATTAACGCGACAGGATTATAAATCCATCATTAATCACTGATTTGGTCAGAGCCATCATGATCTAACTGTTTCTGGAGATGCCCTCCCAGGCACTTCTGGGGTATACCCAACTGATCTCATTGGCACCTCTCAGTCTAATAAAGTTGACAACCAAGACTGACCATCACGATCACACCCATGCACTTAAAATTCTGAGAAATGGTATTTATCAACACGCTCTGGAGGAGACTGCTAGTGCTTACAATGCTCCAGGCAGCTGGCCGAGAGCACAGGACTACCAGGGACCTTCCCTCCTAAAGTTCTGAACGGAACAACCCCAGGGTTCTCAGGAACCACAGCTACCGCAAGAGGAGCAGAGCCTGGATGGACCCGGATCTGCAGGTGACGGAGGATCCGGTATGAGACCCTGGTGAGGAAGAGGTTAAGGAGCACTGAGCCCAGCTTTGCTGTAGGGAGGAACAGTAGACACCTCCAGGGAAAGCCACCGAACTGCTTTTACTGTCCCTTTTCTGGAAAAGGACACATTTTAAAGAGCCCTCAAGTGAGTTTATGTATATATTTTAAAGGGCCATAAAGTCCTCAGAGTGAGGAAAATGTAGTCATACAGTTACGATGGAGTCCTTGGAGAGAGGAGGTGGGCACAGAGGAGTTATTGGCAATAAATTTCACCATGAATCTGAAACACTTGGGCAAGTTACTTTAACTTTCTGCCACCGTATATATGGCAAGTGAAACATTTCCATTTTATTTGGTTTTTGTTTTCACAGTCCTGGCTGTTTATTCCTTCTTGTACATTAAGCCACAAATTCACACAGGATTAGCTCCGGCAGCTCAGTCTCCTCCCCAGTATTCCCTAGGACGTGTCCAGCTCTGGGTGGAGTAGGCTGGTGCTTCAGCTGAACCCAGGTACCCTTCTGTTTGGCTTTCTTTGGCTTCTGATCATTTTCCTTCATCCATTTCAGGAAGCTGTCTTTGGTCTTAGAGAACTTGACATGTTTAATCTGCACGTTAGTTCTCTTGGCAAGAATCTTGCCCTAAATTTGCTTGTTTGCAATGATATCCACAGCATGCTGGGTAATGTTGTAGACTCTTCCAGTTTTGCCATGGTAACACATATGGGGCATTTCTTTATGAACAGTGCCCAGTCCCTTGATGTCATCAATACCACCCTTCTTGTAGACTCACATGCATGTGGCAAAAGGAACAAGTCCATAATTCCTACAAGGCCTAGAGAACAGATATCCAGTGTTCCTCCTCTTCCTCTTTGTGATTGTATGGAGAAACCTTTCTTATACCTACATCCTTGGGGCTGTTGGGGCACTGAAGAAGCCTCAGCTCATTAATGCTCCATAACACAGTGATACAGAGCTGCCACCAGAAGTCACTGAGACCCTGAAATTGAAACTGCCTGCCACCAGCAGAAGTTTGCCCAGGATAGCAAAGGTAAGGTGGTAGAAGGCCTATCTCTCTCCAGCCACAAAAGGAGGGGGGGGAGGTTCATGTGCATGGTTCATACAATAACACTGGGCCAAAGTAATATCTAAGTCTGAAGAGACTGGTCAGAAGTACAGGGAACGTATAACTCAGTGGTAGAGAACCTGCATACTGCAAGGGCCTCCTGTTTGACTCCCGTCAGCATATGGGCACGCAAGCACAGACACACACACTGGGCCACTGTTTTCCTCGGAGCTTACATTTAAATCAAAAGGTAAGCATATTCAACTACACAAGGGAGACAAAGCCTCGCTAATGGTGTCTGGGACTAGCAGCAATGTCTGGCCAGATGTAAGGGGAAGTTAAACAGCAAGAGAGGTATGGGCCACCTCTTAAAGGGGAGTGTCTGGTGGAATACAAGATGGTGACAGCAGAAGATAAGGTCAAAATGAGTTCCCAGTGGGCAAGTATCTCTTCACACTGATGGCCAGGTTAGCATGATACAATCTAGACCCTCAGTCTACAGCCTGTCCTTAACTCCCCCATGTAATTAGAAAAGGGAACAGGACAGGAATAGGACGCTTAAAGCTAGGAGGATGAGAGTCAGCCACAATTGGGCATGTAGCTTACAGATATTTCCTCACAGAAGGAGAGAGCAGCAAGGTTAACTGGATCCTCACCTCTGGTTCCTGTTACTCCACCCAGCCCTATGTGTGGAATGCCCTAAATACATGTGGCCTTGAGGTCTGGGGAGGTGCTAAATTATATAGGCTAAGGAAGTGCTGCCATCTATGTGGGCTCAGGGAAGCTGCCCTCCAGGCTGACTGCAGACCTTCCAGAAAGGCTGCTTTAAGGTCACGCATGCTCTATAAGTAAGCCTTGCAATCACATTGCTCCTCAGAGTGAACTCCGGTGGAATCAAACTTCGGTTTGTCCCGGGGACCTCATAAGGAAGGGGCAGATGTGGCTATGCTCCCATCCGAGAGGACTTCTCGTGGGAGTCACAAAAGCATTCTCTTAAGTAATCCAAAGTAAGAGACCTACATCGAAGAGCAACAACACAGGAGGGAAGTCCAAGGAAGGTTATCAAGAGTCAGTCAGTCTCCCTTTCTCACTCCACAGGCTCTGGCAGAGTCTCCCATCCTATTCTCCAGGTTAGTTTTAGTTTCACACAGACTTCCTGTCCCTCCTCCTAACTAACTGCTAGCAGCTGTGCTTGCAGACTCATGCATCTCCATAGGAACTTCCTGTTTCCTTACACCAGCACTTTCTCTGCCTCTTCAGACTGGCCTCTTGGCCCCTGGCCTAGTGCCATAGCTCCACAGGAATGGCAGGCCTCGGAGGAAGGCGACAGGGAAGTGTGCACAATCAGCTTAATTTACATAGAGCTTACCTGCAGCGCTATCTCCTGCCAGTTGTATTTGACTAGGAGCTGGTATTAACTACAATTAAAGATCATGTTCCTCTTTGGGGGATAGAAATGGAGAGAAATGCAGGGATGGCATTTCCCACAGTAGCTCTGAGAGACAGAAACTTGTCCTGGATATCCTGGTTCCTGAGCAGACTACGAAGGTGGACATGTGTGCCACCCCCCCCCCCCCCGCCCTTTCCTAGAACTCTGGCAAGATATCCCCAAAATAGATGGGATGTTCAAACACTGGCCTAGAGGGTGCCATCACACTGTCCAGCAGAGGATATCAGGATGGGTGGGCAGGTTATTAAAATTCTCCTGTGTGGGAAAGCCTGTCAAGTCCCACCACAGGTACTGCAGGGCGAGGCCCAGCACAGGTACTGCAGGGAGAGCCTACCACAGGTACTGTGGGGGGAGCCTACCACAGTGACTGTAGGGGGAGCCTACCACAGGTACTGTAGGGGGGCCTATACCATATATCACCACAGACACTGCAGGTGGGCCCAGCACAATTGTATGGATTGTTTTCTCTCTCCTGCCCTTTCTCTTTGTGTTTCTTGGCAAGATTTTGGGAGACTTTTTTTTTTTCTTACTTCATGTTTTCATTGCTGTTCTGCACAATCAGGGAAAATGGGCCGTGTTTCCCCATTTCTTGCCTCCCTACCTCACTCCAGACACATCATAGCCCAGATCACAGTTAAGTTCGATGCACAGCCGGGGCCTTACCTGTAGCCGGTGCTGTTCCGGCCCACCACCAGGTGCTTGGGCTGATCACCGCAGGTGTAGAGGTTGAAGTCATTCTCCGGCACCAGGTCCACGTCATGGAATATGAAGCAGTCCCAGTTCTCCTCCTTGAGAGCTTCCAGATAGCCCACATTCAGGAGCTTGGCGCGGTTAAACTTTTTACTTCCCGTCTATGGAAAATGTACGTGAAAGTGAAGAGTTGTGGAAAATGGCTCTCTCATGTGCTCCCCTTCGCCTCCATTCAGGAGTGTTATATTACCTCTGTTTGTTGGCAAGACAACATACACTAGGATCTAACAGAGGAAATGCAATGATAACAGACCATTCGGTTTGGGCTTTGTGTTTCATGCATATTTATATTCTATAATTTAAAAGCATCCCGTTGAGTCTGGCAAGTTGTCTGATAGTGGATAATTTGCTTAGATGAAAAGACTGAAAAGTCCAGTAGATTGGTTGCATTAGAGTGAAGTTTCTTTCTTTCTTTTTTTTTTTTGAGACATTTTCCCAAGCTGGCCTGAAACTCACGGCAATTTTCCTGCCTCAGACTCCCAAATGCTGAGATAACAGAATGAGCCATCACACCACGTCAGAAAACAGCTTCCTTTTTAAAGAATAATTTTATTTTTCGGTGTGTGTATACGTGTGTGTGTGAGTGTGTGTGTGTCTGTGTATGTGTGTGTGTGTGCATGGTATATGTTTGTGTATGGTGTCTGTGTGTACACATGCTGTGTTCATTTGTATGTGTGTGTACATGTATGTGTGTACATGGAGTGTGTGTGTTTGTGTGTGTGTGTGTGTGTGTGTGTGTGTGTGTGTGGCTACTACATGGGTGTAAGCGGCCTCTGAGGACAGAAAAGGACATCAGGTCCCAAAGCTGGAGTTCTAGGCAGTTGTGAGCTGCTGGAAGTGAGCATAAGGATCTGAGCCTGGTCCTCTGCCAGAGAGTGATATGGTCTTAACTGCTGAATCATCTCTCTACACACCCCATACATACTTAATACTGCTAAACAGTACACTTAAAACTTAACAAGATGGTTTTTAAAAAATGAGAAAGTGGCTGAGATAATTTTTATGTAGTATTTTTAGCACCAAAAAAAAATGTGATGCAGTTTTAAAATACAAATAAAAATAAAGCCACATAATTGTGCACTTCAGTTTATTAAGAGGCTGGAGGTCATGTGAAATGTTCCCCTAAGCTCGGTTTTTAAAGGGCCTTTATGAATTCTACAGGAAACTACAAAGCCCCTAGAATGTTCTTGTCACAACAGTTAGTGTTACTGCTTTCCTGTCGGCTCCTGGCTGATCTCCAGCTAACTCCATCCCCCCACCCCCCTCCCCTGCATTGACACCGAACTTCAAACTTCCAAGAAACTAAGCTAAGAGCTTGTCAGGAAGGACCAGGAAATTGTGACCCATTAACAGAGAAGGCTGTTGCTAATACTTTTAAACTACTTAAAACTTTCTTGGAAATGGCTTGACAAAATCCTGTCACTACACTAATGACAGAGGCTATTCCTTACAGTGGCCATTCAGAAGGATCTGAAGACAACACGGCCTGCAAGATCCTTAACACTTAACGTGCAATATGATGCAAGGACTATTTAGTCCAACTTTGCTCAAGGCTAACTGAATGCTGTAAAAATAAAGTCTGATTTGACAGCTTATCATAACAAAATTATAAGCGATTCTTAGAAGTGACAGCAGCACTTTCCTGAAAAGAATAACAAAGTAGGTATGTTTCTGTTCGTACAAAAAAAAGGAAAAGAAAAACCAGAGCACATGCCTATGATCTCAGTACTCAGGAGGATTGAGAGTTTCAAGCTAGCCTGGCCAAAAAGGAAGGAGGAATCAGGGAGAGGCAGGAAAATGAAAGGAAACAGAGTGGGTGAAAACAGGGGGTCTGCTACACATGCCTAACAACCTGGGTTCGATACCCAGAACTCACATCAAAAAGCCAGACGATTCTATAACCAGACAAGGCTCTCAGTGCAGGGACTGAACACCAGCTCAGCCACAAAACTTTCAACCTATAATCTGTCCTACCCACAAGGGGCACCCGAGGAAAGGTGGTGCAGAACTTGTGGGAATGGCCAACCAATCACTCAATTCAATTAAAGTTTAAAAAAAAAAAAAGCCAGATGAGGTGAAACTCCTGTAACCCAGCATACCTGTGACCAGAGGGAAGGTAGAACAGGGGGATTGCCTGGAAGCTTTCAGGTAAGCTAACCTGAAGTATGCAGCAGCAGAAACAATAAGAGAGACCCCTGACTACACACACACACACACACACACACACACACAAATAATCTTTTGAAAAGGAAAAACTAAAAATAGTACCACATTTCATTTTGGTAGCTACCACCCTAAGTAAGAGGTCAGACTCAATAAATCACAGTTTTAACCAATGTCGTTAAAAACAAGATTAATTCTAAAACAAAAGAAGTGGGCTGGTGATATATCTCAGTGGGTAGAGTGTTTGCCAGCACCCGCAGGGCCCTGAGTTCAACCTCCAGATGAACCATGTGTGGTGATGCCTGCCCACAACCCCAGTGCGGGGGAAGTAGAGGTAAGAGGACGAGAAATCGAAGCTCAACCTTTGCTGTGTTTCAGACAAGCCTTGGTTACAAAAGGCCCTGCTCAACAACGAACAGAAGCTACAGGAGCAGGAGGGATGGCTCAGTGGTTACGAGCAAGTGCTGCTTTGGTAGAGGACATGGAGTTGGTTACCAAAACCCACGTGTCGGCTCACAACCGGCCATAATTCCAGTGCAGGGAAGTCCTAAAAACCGGACACAGATACGCCATAGAGAAGCACCTGACTATGAAGTCTCTCATAAAGTACACACTACAGAGGAGAACCCACGAGGTGACCGTTCTACCTAAAATTGGTATTATCAGCTACATCCAATATTAAGTCACCAATTAATGATTTCGCCAATACTCTTGTTAGAATTTATACGGATCTGAAGGAGCATTATTTGAATGGACCAGGATGATATTAAAAAGTTTAGACACAGATGTTTATACTGATGCTCTATCTTTCATTTAATAAATTTTAATACCAAATAGAGGCATGTTGAGTCATCCACCACCGACTGACTGACCTCAAAGCTGAGCTCCTCCGAGGCAGCCTATGGGTGGCTACATGCTGTTCCTACTAACCACTTCTGGAAGCCAGATGAGTGAGTCAAGACGGTGAAAATTAAACGTCGCCTATTTGACATAATAAGAAGTGGTGGGGTTAAAGGTCAAGGTGACTGGAAAGCCACTCAAGTGGCTGGCTGTACCACTTGGCACTCCGTGAAATCACTCTTGAGATCTCTCCTGCAAGCCACATTCAATAACAACAGGCCGAAGCCCAACCCCATATTGTGTAACATAGGGCAAACCTATAAGAAACAGGAGAGGCAGGAGAGCTCAGGAGTGTGTATATGTTAGCACTGGCTAACATGGTGCGGTGGGGGGTCGGGGGGGAGAGCCCACTCTCAAAAACAGGCTTCCTCCCAAAGACCATGTTAGGACAGTGATACTTCCCAGAGCTTTGCCCCAAGGCTCCAAATTCAGGATCAGAATTTCTTCTACTCTCTGAGAGTGGGTGAGGGAAGAGAATTCTCCTTCGGATGATGGTCGTTTCACCCAAAACAGACAGGCCCGTTGCTTCCTCCACAGACTACGGGATCCAGGAAAGCCCCACACCCACCTGGTGGATGATGTAGATACCGTAGTCCAGCTGCTGCCTCTGCAGGAAGGGATGCAGGTGCTCCAGCAGGTATATCAGGTGCTTCTCCCTGTTCCGGTGGGGAATGAGGATGGCGACCCGCTGGAGAGCCTTACATTCCTCAGGATGATACCGGCCTCTGGACACTTTGGGGTTTTCGGCCTGTACTTCCTCCAAAGTGAGGTCTGGCTTAAAGACGAGCTTGCTCTGGCCTCCTGCAATCAACACCGGACACAGGTTGGAATCGGAGCCGTGGCATGAAGCTCTGGGGTTTACGCAGCTGACTCAGATGAAGGCTCAGCCCTCCGCCTGGGGCCCCATGAGTACCACAGCTCCTACTGCTCTCTGGATGGAGGTCTCATGGTACACAGAGCGCTAAGATAATGACAGCCTCCTGACAAAGCAAGTAGCTGTAAATAAAAGCATTCCCTGGGCCAGGGCAATCAACTCTGGCTCTATGATCCATTTTTGAGTGAGTCACGGAGACTGCCCAGCCACCTCACCGCCCACTAAAGATCAGGACAAGACAGAGTAACTCCTCTACCAAGAAGGATGAAAGATGAAAGGCAAGAACACTCTGTAGACTCCAGCTCCTCATGAGGCCCTCTTCCCACTTCTGCCCTACACTCTTCATGCTTGGGTCCCTACAGGCAAGGCACCAGAAAGAAGCTGATGCTCACCGGACTCTCTAGCCAGGGTGACAAAGACACACACAACTCTTCTATCATACGAGGAGGGAAGATGTTTCCAGTTAACACAGCATCTGCCGGTGAAACTCGAGGCTGTCCATGGTAATCAATCCTGAGCAGGGCTTCAAATATCAGACTAAAGTAAGTAACCACCTATTTTCTGACCTGAATACAAAGGATAGCTTGACCAGCAGGAGAGGAGGCAGAATTCTCCTTATGAACCGAGATAACCTCCTCTGTGCCTTACACGCCCTCTAAGACCCCACATACACTAGACAGGCCTTAAATCTGCGAGCTGCTAACGGAGTTGTACCATCCCCTTCCTCTCCAAGTGGCCTCTCTCAACAGTCTGAGGCATGCTAAGACAGACATGCTGCAGTTCCCACAAGCAGGTCTACGAAGAGCCCCAGGCCACCCAACAGACCTCTCTCCTAGTATAGACAGAGAGCCATAGTTGCCTGTCTGGGAGAGCAGCTGGACTACACAGCTAGAACAGGACACCCAGATACCCCCATCTCCATACTGCCTGCTTTCTGTGTCCACAGAAAGACAAGCATGAGCTGCCCACGGTGACTTAGGCTGTGACACAGCAGGTGTAGCACACAGGAAACTGAGATTTCCTGAGGCTGGGGCTGGGGCAGTCCCTGAGTCCTTCCTAGAAGATGAAGCTGAGTTTCAGATGACTACACAGGAACCCACTGGATAGACATGGGTTGAGAAAAGGCATCTGGGAAAGTGGGGGGGGGGGGGCAGTCAATACAGGACGAAGCTGAAAGGACTGTCTGGGAAAGTCTGAGCACTCTGGTGTTCTGGAGAACCAATATATGTGAGACATTTTCTCTCAGATGTACTGAGTCCACTAAAACCAATTCACTGTTCACTGAAAGGAAGAGCTCCACAGGAAATCAAAACATAGAAGCTCCTGAAGAAATATACCTAAAAACCCACACTGAACAACCGAGTCCTATCTCTTGGCTCCATACTGTTGGCTAAAGGGACACTAACAGATGAGACACAAATGAAGACTGCCCGTGCTTGCAGCTTCCACCAGCAAGACAGGATAATACACCCAGGCAGCCACTGCCTTAGAGACAATGAGAAACACATGGGGCAGAAGCACAAGTCCAGACCTGACTTAATATAGTCTGGATGATGATACTAAGCTCATTCCTGTCATAGGATTGAACTGGATATTGATGAGAATCAACAAACTGGAAGCTGAACAGAATGCTGAGTTGCAGCAGCCATACACAAGCACATGCTTCCAGTCTGTCAGCTTCAAAGGCCCGTGAGTCCTGGAGTCAGGCTATGGAATGGAAGGAATAAAGGCCTCACAGAATTCTTGGGAGATACCTTTTTTTTTTTAAACCGGCATGCCAACTCCACAGTATAGTCATTTTGCAAAACTTAATTAAGTATATTATTCTGCTTTTCATACTTTTCTCCACATTGGTTAAATAATTTTTTTTTGTTGTTTTTGTTTTTGTTTTTCGAGACAGGGTTTCTCTGTGAAGCCCTGGCTGTCCTGGAACTCACTCTGTAGACCAGGCTAGCCTCAAACTCTCAAACTCAGAAATCCGCCTGCCTCTGCCTCCCAAGTGCTGAGATTAAAGGCGTCCACCACCACCGCCCGGCTTTTTTTTTTTTTTTAAGATTTATTTATTTTATATATGTGAGTACACTGTTTTTGTCACCAGAAGAGGGGATCGGATCCCATTACAGATGGTTGTGAGCCACCATGTGGTTACTGGGAATTGAACTCAGGACTTCTGGTAGAGCAGTTAGTGCTCTTAACCACTGAGCTATCTCTCCAGCTCTCACGGTTAAATAATTTTTTTATGGTACTTACCGAACAAAAACAGCAAATACTTACTGAGGTTTGGAGACACCGAAGGGCAGTTAGCAAGCTCTGCTTTGTTCATGGCTGCATCATGGCCCAGAGTTTCTTCATTCCCCAAAGGTATGACCTTGTGGAAACTAGCCATGAAATCCTTTGCCTTGGGGATCACTTGAATAGCACCCACAAAGTAGTTGCTGGTGGCCCATCCAACCACCGTCAGGCACAGGGTAAAGAGCAACAACAATCGTAATCTGTAGGAGAGGTGGTAAGGTGGGTTGCAGCCCATGTCTCTTAGCTTGTGAGTAATCTGTATTTCTGCTTCAGCTGGAGTGAGGAGGTTTCAAATTGTGCTTTTCCAGTATAACCGAGGATTTGATGGCAACTCATGAGGTAATGTTTGCTACTGCCCAGCAGTTCTATCCCAGAGATCACTGAAAGACAATCACAAAGAATGAATTATGAATAGAAATCCTGTCCTAAAATGACAGACCTCAGTGGTCAGTAGAAACACAATCCCAGCTGAGCTGTGGTCTCAGTGAGATGCTAGCCCACGGAAGAGCCCAACAGAATGAAGAAGGGTGGGACAAGAAACACAAGGGGACCCAAACAGATTGTCAACGTTCATGAGAAAAATGAGTCAAGAGCAGGGACTTGGGTTCAGAGAGAAGCCATAATTCTAACACTTCTGAGCCACGTGGTCTGCACCCACTCAGTGCACTGCCCTTCCTTATCTCCCCTGAGTTCCCTTCTCTGTCAAGTGGTGGTAAAATAATACCTACCTAGATAATATCTACTTTCCTGCAGGGCTGGACTATCATGGAAAGTACTGACCAGCCTCCTGGAATACACTAAGCAGCCACCAGACAGTGACCATCATTCTCACTGCTACATTAAAGAGACTGGTCCAGGAATGGCCAATGGCAGATGTACTGGCAGCCACCTGGACCAGCACTTTATCAAAGGTGTTTCTCACAGGTGAGAAATTGTCCTTGATTTCAGACTTCAATACCACGAGGTGGGATAATACAAATTCATCTCTAAGAGGTGCTATGTTCTTAGTTATTAACACGAAAAAAAAAATCCAGCTTTCAGGGTACTTAGGAACCACCATCTATACCAGTAAGTTCACTAGACGGTAGGATACTTGTGGAGGGCCTGTGGGGCACAGCTTACAACAGCCCCCACATCCTCTCGGTACCACCAAAGTCACATCATGCTTCAAATCCCAAGCAACTTCTCAAGGGAAATGTAGCAAATACTGAAGCCAGGCTCCAGTTAACGTCCATAGCCAAACAGTCTGTGCTATGTTCGGACCAACAAGGAAATACTCCCAATTACAACTCAAGAAACAAGAAAGGAAAAGCCAGTGCGGTAAGTATGTATACCACCCACCTTCAAGGGCTCCCAAAGCTGGCTTGAGCCCTCCCAGGCTGGCAGCTACAGCTCCATGTACAGTAAGAGATCTGTCTGTGGGGTGGCCTAGGGTTCTTTGTAGGCCTGTACTTCTTAAACAGCTTCAGAGACTATAATCTCTCCATCTCAGCCTGCTTGGCTGATGTAATAAAATTCTGTGATTTGGCTTCTCCCACTTCTGAAGGCTTTCTGGAAATCTCAGATTGGGTTCCAGTGTGGCCAGGCTCTTGTTGAGGGCCCTTGTACTGATTATACCCCAATGGCTTTTCTCACACACACACACACACACACACACACACACACACACCACAGAGTCAGAGAGAGATTAAAGTCTAGATTTCATATCTCTTGCTCCTTTTATATGACTATTAATTCCAGCATGAAGGCTTGACCTTCATGACCCAATTTAACATAACCACTTACCCCTTATAAGCTTAAGTGTCCTCTATAAAACTGGTAGCACAGAAGAAAGTTCAAAAGCAAAACTCCCTTGTTTTTGTGAGAAAGTGGGGAGGGGGCGGCTTTTAGAACACCTCTATGCATTAGAGAGAGAGAGATCTCCTACCCTCTGCCTGTCATCTAAGTGACCGGAAGTTTGGAAAAAAAACTCTCTCGGCATGTTTCCCTAGCTTATGTAAAACTTGAGAGGCAGGAACATGCTCACTTCAAAATGATGTTGTAAGAATTTCACGAGAAGGCACACCCAACACCTGCCGAATTTCCAGAACCACAGGGGATTTACGGACTACCACAGTGATTCATGTGTTATCAGAATATTAGCCAAGGTAATCATAATCATACCTCCAATGAAGTCAAGCTACTTGTAATAACAATTCCACTTTTCTTTCAGTGAGCATATAATACTTTTGTAATTAGAAACAAAATGACTTTTCAAACACTATCTTCAGGACAGGTGACTCCAGGAGGGTGACTCCAGGGAAGGTGACATCAGACTTATTTGTACTATTATTTAAGTAAGTGTGAGGCTCTCCCTCTTCCTGCAGCCATTCTCGTATTTAATCAAGACATTGATATGGGAGAGGGGAGAGGGGGAGAGCAAATTCATCAAAGAGTTATTTCAGGGCAACCCTCCACCACCTTCCCAGTCTAGAAATCTGCCCTAGAGTTTGTTTTTTTGTTTGTTTCTTTGTTTAGTTGGTTTGGGTTTTTGGTGGTGGTGGGTTTGTTTTGTTTTTCTTTCTTTCTTTCTCTCTCTCTCTCTCTCTCTCTTTCTTTTTTTTTTTTTTTTTTTTTTTTGGTTTTTCGAGACAGAGTTTCTCTATGTAGCCCTGGCTGTCCTGGAACTCACTCTGTAGACCAAGCTGGCCTCAAACTCAGAAATCCGCCTGCCTCTGCCTCCCAAGTGCTGGATTAAAGGCGTGTGCCACCAACGCCTGGCAAAATGTGTAGCCTAAAGCTGGCCTCGAACTCATTATCCTCCTGCCTCTGCCTCCTTCAGCAAATCCTACCAGTGTGCGCCACCACTACCAGCTGTTTTGTTTTTCAAGACAAGGTTTCTCTGTGTAGCCCTGGCTGTCTTGGAACTCATTCTGTAGCCTAGGCTGGCCTCTAACTCATAAAGATCCACTTGCCTCTGCTTCCCAAGCTCTGAGATTAAAGGTGTGCGCTGCCACCACCGGGCTTTCCCTTCCCTGAAAGCAATCTGTCTGCTCTGAGCACCTGCCACTTTTAAGCACAGGCACAGACACCCACAGACACAGACACTCAGAGGTGTGGACGGACACCCACAGGCCAAAAGGGAAGTGCTGCCCTTCTTTACTTCAGTCTTCTCCCTGCCCTTAATGTCTACAATTTGTTTTTCAAACACGCTGGCCCCTTCTCACTCCAAAGAAGAGGAACACATGAACCGAGACTGGCAATGAGACAGTTAGGAGACAATTACCCAAGGGCTCACTGTCTTGGTACTTCTCTGTGTGTTTTTGGTTTTTTTTTCACTTTCCATAATAGTAAAGATTATCTAATAAAGAAGGTAAGCTGTGACCAACAACAACTCAACATAAACATGCACCATTTCCATGCCTCCATAGCAGATGTGGTAGGCGCCACATTCATGCAGTAAATGCTCCTGCACCAAACAGAAAGGATGTGGCGGCATTCAGCAGTTGGTGAGCACAAAATCTGCATCTAAGACCTCTAAGGCTAGCCACAAATACCACAGGCGGTGTGTGAGGGCACGTCGCCCCGGGCACTTGGTCTTGCTACCTTGAGATTCTCTGAGGCAGCACAGAGGAAAGACTGCTGATGGAAACTGGAAACATTTAATTTAAAAAAAAAAAATGTGCTCTGTATTTTAATCCACAGAACAAAATGAATTTTCATGAGTATATATTGACATAACTGATCAAATAAAGAAAGGGAAGGGAGACAAAAGATAGGAAACTTCTCTCATACAGGAAACTTCCAATTGAGCAGCCAGGAGGAGGAAAAACCCACTAAGCAAACACTACGCCAATCATTGCTTCAGTCTGGCTTCACCAACGGGCATTAGAATGAACAGTTTTGTGCTCTGTGGTTGCAAAGACTCTCCTTCAATGTTAACTGCGATTGGTAACTATACAGAGAAGCCAACCTCGAGAACCTGTTACTAGTATTGAGAAATAAAGTCTATCAACAGTATTGAGAAATGAAGTCTAGATAGCATTGATAAAGTTTTCACTGCTGTGTAAAGGAATAAATACGAAGCTACATGAACTTTCTGTATCATTTTTAAAACTTTTAAGCAATCTAAAATTAAAGTATTAAAACATGTTTTTAAAAAAATCATATAATCAGAGAGCCTGAATATAGCCCCAATCAATACTTGGTAAATAATTAACTGAATTCTCAAAAACGATTTCCAACTCTGTATATTCCTGATATCTCAAATCAACCTAACATATAACTTTCTAAGATATACTATATGAATAAGGACACAACATAATCCAAGCCTACTGAAGAAAGATGCTATATTTAAAAAGGGAGAATGAAGTCGGGCAGTGGTGGTGCACACCTTTGATCCCAGAGCTTGGGAGGCAGAAGCAGGCAGATCTCTGAGTTCAAAGCCAGCCTGGTCTACAGAGT